CTGTAGCAACTTCAACAGATTCCAGGGTGATCAGCTCAACGGCGTATTCCAAAAATAAGACCTGTGGATGACCGCCTAAGTTATATGAGTAGCAAATGAAGAGATCAGTTGCACTAGCCTCATTCCATGTGGTATTTCAAAGGTTCACACTAATAAATGGGTCGAAGTTAGAGGATTGTCAACAAACAATGAAATGATTGCAATCGGTGTGGAGACAATAACTAGTATAGATCATGGCCCACGGAATCGAAATTTTGAGACAAGTATAAGATTCACACCAGAACAAAATAAACACTGTTAGCACACTGTTAGTTATTTCTGATTACTAATCTACCTTGTGAACACAATAAAGTCATGTCGTCGGAGTTGTGTGCTTCTTTTATGAATTGGAGAGGGTTCAATACTTTGGTCTCTACACAATTTTTGACTCTCACGTTTCATCCAAAACGCAACCAATGCACTTTACCCCAATGTCCAAAAACACAATTCATGAGCTGTTTTTGGAGAGAAACGCAACAGTGTGTAGTCGGGATGCTCATAATAGGGCGTTCGTCGCAGACCCTGAGCCGTCACAAAACGACAGAGACGTATTTGCGGGACAGTAGCATTATTTGAACACCCAACGTCGTGATACATGAAAAAAACATTATTGGGGCTCAATAATAAAACTAGAAGTTGCACATCCTATCTGAGTTGATATCGTTCAGTGAAACCATGACAATTTCTTCAAACAAGCGTTTGAATTGTCAAACTTGAGAGAAACGCGTCTGATTCTTCCGCCGATCACAAAAATGAAAAATATTCGGTTGCGTACCTTTTAACAGTCAAACTAGTGATGGAGGACCTTATCCTTTTAGTCTCACTCCAACTACGATTTAGATCAAGTAGTAAGTTCAACATGCACTTTTGCAGTGCAACTCCGTCCTACGGCCAAGTCTAGTAACCTATGATTCATCATCGTCACGGACAGAGAAGTCAGCATTGACGGGGATGCTTTACCGTAATATTAAAAAATCCCTGAGGCAGAATCATGATTAAATGGGATTATTTTTCCAACTGAAGCACCTGAAGTACAATCAAATACTCGACTTCTAACTACCTCGTTGCGGGTTAGCTGATGCTACTCAACATCAGCAACTGTTCTGAAATGTCTATGCCAGGTACCAGCATGCGCCTGAGATCATTCTTTCAAGCCACAAAAAAAAAGAAAACCCACATTGTAGATGAATAATAAGCGATTGATAGAACACTGGTATGCCTGTTCGGCGTTACAAGTGGCTACGTCGATTCCAGTCTGAGACTTGTGCACTAACCCCCTGTAATAACGGAGATATGTAAAATGCTCAACGGCCTTCAGCGCTCGTCATGGAATTACAAATGCGATATCACCAGACTAAAGTCCTCAAGCATGAAGTTCCGCTTTGTAGGTAAAAAGCGCATGAAGAACGCTACGATGGTTGTAAGTTTACCCAACAGCGAAAACAATTTCTGTTCGACTCAAAGGTTAGAGTGATGTCAACTCTACATCGACACCATTAACGATCACAACACCGGTATTTGTCTCCCATATTACTTCACACGGAAAGATGTAATTTCGCACTTAATCAAGAGATCAAGTTCACTCCAGCCCAAAGCCATTTGTTTGATAAATTAAAGTGCACAAGATCGGAAAAAAGGAGAGAAAACAAGTACGTCCTCATCAGGATAGAGAGACATGTGTGTGTGAAGGGTTATTGAGAGCACCTTAAAATGGAGTAATGGGAAAAAGAGAATTATGACAATGTGCTACCAAGTGACCACATCGTCATTGTAGCGTGCGGTCAGACAGTGCGCATATAACACCACGCACTAATTCGGTTCAAACTTCAATACGTCCTTGCTGATTAAGCTTAGAAGACAAAACTTTTGCGATGAAATCATGCAAATTATTAAGATCCATTCACTAATGTTCCTATTCCCTCTTACATCCTTTTACTAGAAATAAACTGGCTGAGCTCAGCGGGAAAGGTTAGGCGGAAGGCGATGTCGTAGCAATTAACCGAAGCGGATCCTCGAAGCGGAGAATATATGGCTCGGCGACGCCGGATTGATATTTGTCCAAAGATGAGGAAATCGAATTTAGTTTGCCCTAAATCCATGATGATGTCATGTCGAACGCTTTATGCTGGATGGAAACAATCAAAAGTGAACAGTTGTTTGGTTTCAGAGTACTATTGAGGTGCGATTGTGGTCTACAGTGGTTTCAACTGAAAGAGGCCCTAATGTAACTCGAGTACAGAAAAGAATATTCCCTAATTATACTAATCACGCCTGCCCGTCAAATTAATTAAACAGTATTTTGGAATCAAACGATTAATACTTCGAAAATCAGTGAGATGTAAACAGTGGTAAACCGCTTCCGATGGTCGTCAAGGGTATTTGAGATAAGTGAATTTGATGTGATGAGTGAACTACCTTGAGGATAAGAATAGGGTCGGCGTTTCCGCATTTGACGCGACGTATACCACATGATCCCACCAGAGGCCAAGTCCACACAACTGTCCAATAGTGAGGAGATTATGGACAACGAGCCAGATATACTTGAAGCAACAGCTTTTCCGATAAGCAGGGTCTGAATGCAGAAAGCGGAAGATACACGAGTGCGGTAACAGCTCACTTGGAAAATCTGGCTCGATTTTCTCTCAGGTGGTCAGAAATCGGGTGTTTAACACCACTGCGGACCAACCAAAAGAACTTTGTGGTGTAGAAACTATTTTCGAAATTCCCTACAAACCAGTGGTATAAAACGTTAGTACATATAAAATGTATAAAACGTAATACCCACCCAACTCCAACCAACTTAAAGAATTACTTCTTATTGTCAGAAAGGAATTCAGTCACGCGTTTCTCTGAGCAATTTTCACCCAAAACATGGAAACTGTTCACACGAGAATTTGCCCTTTTAGTTATTCAGACATTAAATGAATATCCGGTTATCGTGAACCCACATAATCCTTTGTGTAGTCCCTTAGGGTTTCTATAATGAGCGTTATTGAAGTTGGATTTCATCGGTTCCACCAGCTCGGGATAGTGTTGAAAGGCAGTTATAAACGAGACCAAGGTGAAATGAATAGAATCATAACGCGACGTCCGCATCGAAACAAAAACATCATGTCCCAAATTATAGCATAGCAGATAAGAGCGAGATTTCAAAGTGGGTTTTTGTTAAGTTTGAATATATCGAATGCCAATCAGCTTCGTTGTTTTTACGGTCATCAGCTTTTCTATTCTATTCTTTTCAAAAAATGTGCAACTTCTCGGCCTCGAAGAGGAATGTAGGCGGGATGAAGCAGTGCTTTCCAACTGCACACAGTAAATCTGAGTCCAATAATCACCTCTAAGAATGCACATATTAATGACAGTCCGTTAGAGGTAGACGAATGTGCGAGAACAAAGCGTGACCTCAGTTGTGAAAAAGCAAACACAAGAAGCAATGAAAGTCAAATGTCAAGATGTCGATAAACGTAATGTAGCTGCATGATAAATGATCTGGTCAAGATAACGAATGGGAAGTCGAAAAATGTATAATTTGTTGTCCGTCCGTCAGCAGCATCCCCGTCCGGTGGTTATTTTTGTTTGAAACTGACTAATGTAATTCAGTTAAGCTTAAGAAATCTCAATAACATGGACACATAATAACAATTGGAGCCAAATAGTAATAGGTGAATAGGGGATGGTACGAATTGCTGCAAGCTAAATACGAACAAGATTAGGTTATTATACTGATCTTATTTTACTCTCGGGAGCAAAACATCGATACACCTGACCGTCTCGTTCCTTCAGAGCAGGCTAAAGGATAGACCTCAGTTCATGTCAACAACAAATCACATCAACTAACCAAGTTAGAGAAGAAAACCACGCGCATTATAACCATATTGGACACCTGGCCCCGAAAGTGAACTTTGTCAGGATTGTTTGGAATCGGTTCTTCTGTGGTGGATTCATCTTCTATGTTCTCCAAGCCTGTCAGTTTTTCCAACTCATGAATATGGGCATCCTGTTTTTTGTAGAATGCACTTGAAAAGCAACAAAAACGTGTTACAAAAGGTTATCTGTTATGATGCGAACTGTATGGGACAGTACACGTACCTACACTATGACTCAGCATGCAAATTTTCGGGCAAAAAGTTTACTGAGATGCTTTTTGGCAGCCCTTGACGATGGCACGGCCCGGAATTTTTTCACGCATTATCAATGTAAAACAAGTGTTAGGTTCACTAATCAGTCAGCTCCCGCCTCCGATTCGCAGCTACTTCCCACCTCCCCGAATCATCGGTGAATGAA